ATTATATGTTACATATTATATATTAAGATGTGATTCAGTCCACTAAAATCTGAAAATAATATTTGATTAGCAAGGAAAAAGGAAAAAGAGAAGAAGAATACAGCAGAAAAGGAAAGAAGAAGGGAGGAGTAGAGAGTTCGATGTCTTCTCTGCTTTCTCTCTAATCCTTTTATTAATCTCACTTAATTAGAATTAATTACAAGTCTGCCTTAAGTGGGCGGCCAGCTCATCAACACACTTAAAAGAAATAAAAAAGATTAACACGCCTGTAAAGGAAAAGGCCCATTATCAAATAAAACATGTAAGAAGCACTAGTAACAAGAAAATAATGCACTAGGGCCCAATCGGCCATATTATATACCAAAGTTCAGTTAACCAAATTTCTAATTCTAAGAACTGAAACTGAAACATTAATTCTGGTCGGCTGAGAAAGTATGATCTTTCTCTCTCAAAGACCATTCGATCCATCCCTTCTCTTCTCTTTCTCTCTTCTTCTTCTTCTTCTTCTTCCCTTCTTCTTTTCTTTTTCTTTTATTCCAGGACAGAAATCAGATCTGATCGAACTGATAACAACAAATTTTCAAATAACCTTCAACCTAGTCACACCACCTCTCTCCAAACCCGTAATTCCTCAGAATTTCCATTAGAAAAATACCAATCAACCATATCGTAAGCTTTCTCCAAATCCAATTTCCTCAGAATCTCCCATTGTCTTAAAATCCTCCACACACATACTCATTGGCTATTAGTATTTGATCAATGATTTGTCTTCCTTGAATAAAGGCCCCTTGTAGCTGGCTTGCTAAGTTGGGTAGGGCTAATCTTAATCTTAATGACAACACCTTGGCCACAATTTATAGATGCTAGTCAATAGGCTGATAGGTATGAAGTCTCTCAGTTGGATTGCATCTCTCTTTTTAGGTATCAATATCAAAGCTAGAAATGTGGAGTTGATCCCTGGACTAATAAAGTGTTCCTCAGTAAGCTCCTCAAAGACTGCCCACAGATCCTCAAAGACTGCCCAAAGATCTGATTTGATAATTTCCCAACAATCTTGATAAAAAGTCATAGTGAACTCATCTGGTTCTGGTGCTTTAGATCTCTCCATTAAAAACACAACCTCCTGATTTCTTCCAACTCAGAATCCAATCTTGGCCAATCTAAACCTTCCACACTGAACCCAATATCAATTTAATTCTTGATTAACTAAGTCACGCAAGAAGTCTTTTTACTTCCTTTTCTTGAATTTGGCATATTGCTTGTGTCTTGGTTGATCGCTTGAGGAATGGCATAAAGTTTATAATGATCTATTGATTTGACCATCTACTCTTATGCTAAAATTTTAATCACCCCAATGAAGAATGAATTGTACAATTTAATTAGAATAAGATTCATGAGAGATTATAAATCTAGTTCTAGTTTCCATTTAAGCAGAATACACTCAGAAACATATTTGTATTCTATGTGGATCCCATTGGCTGACATTTAATAACATAAAATATAATATGTAAAACAAATTTTGCTTAACATAGTATTTGTTTAAGAAAATGAAATATGAAAAAATAAAAAATTCCTTCGCTTTGATAAGTAATATGCACTATGGTGAAAATGCAGAAATACAAAATGACGGTTCAGCTCTTCCTCCTTTTTTTTGATAGTTAACAATAAATTCATTAAAGAACCAGCACACTAAAAAATAAGCAGCTGGAAAGATAGTACAAAGCTTTCTCCAATAAATTCATTACAGAAGTTTCTTTTTCTTTTTTTTTGACAAGGCAAAATTTCTTCTTCCTTTTGGCATCCATGATTGACAAGTTAATAATTTGATCTTTCCATTCTCTGCCATGTCTCCAATGTCTTAAGACAGAAGCTACGGAACATGTGTTTTATCCAATAAGATAGTGCGTAGTCATTAAGGTCTTTTGACCTTTACAAAGGAAAGTATAATGTATAACCTTCCTTTGAACACTTGGCATGTAAAGGTAGATTTAAATCTTGAAATTGGGGCTAGGAAGATGGGGATAGGTCATACGTCTGAGGAATGGTAGGGAAAAAGTGAAGAAAAGTAGGGTAGTGGTAAGGTTGGTAGGGGAAAAAAATGAAATAGGGGATTGTTGTAAAAAGAAGGGCAAAAGTGGAGAATTTTTTTTGAAGATAAATAAAGAAGAAGGTTTTATTGTTAAAAAGGAAAATACATCTTAAATAGGTGACAAAGAGTCATCCCATCCATGAAATACAAAAGACAAGGAGAAGATTCACAAAAAACGAACTTCAAAGTACATAAAGCATAACCAATAAACTCCTATTAAGCATTCAGAGTGCGCCAAAACTCAGCACTGAAGTCTTCCTTCTTTAGACCTTCAAAATCTGGAAGAAACAGAACCCAGCCAATAATCGAATAACTGATTGCCACCCCAACTTCTTCCAAACTTTTCCTCTTCTCCTAAAAAATTCTCATGTTTCTCTCCCCCACACCCCAACATACAGCAAAGGGGATAACAGCCCAATAATTTTTTTGCCTTAGGACCACCCTGAACCCTTGGCCAACAACCAAGATTTCCAGCTGTGTCTGATGGCGACCACATGTCCACCTTGAAGAGTTTGGAGAAGTAGGACCGGATGATTTCACAAAATTGCATTGAACCAACAGCTGCAGAATATTTTCCACTTCAGAAAAACACAGCACACAACTGTTTGGAAACTGATAACCTCTTTTCTTTAATATGTCCTGTGTTAAAATACAGCCTCTAGCAATCAGCCATGCAAACACTTCCAAGAGAATTAAGGTAATGGTAGGCTTTAAATCTAGAGTTTGGGACTAGGAAGATGGGGATAGGTCTAAGCCAGTCTAAGGAATGGTTTAGAATTGGTAGGAAATGTTATGGTTTCAAACATGGGGTCATAGAGAAACAAAGTGTGCTAAGAATCCTGCATTCATAGAATTTTTAAGAGTGGGAAAGAAAAGATTTCTTTTAGTATCTTCCAAAAATGTAAAGAAAGACCATTGCCTAATGTTTGTCCTAGCTGTCTGGGGTCCTGGGAGGGATAAACTGGATATAATCCTAACCTTTGACCTTACTTTTTTGCACAAACTGGCCATTCTCAGACTCAAACCTGCATTCTCATGCTTGCCAGCCTGAGATTTTACCATTATACCAAGCAATGCCCCCTATATCTTAAAAAGTAGCAGGCTGAAAGGAATAAGATATACAGGACTGCTGATTAGGGATGGTAACCGAACCATGGGCCTTTTTTTCCAAACCAAACTGGTCCTTCAGTTTTTGGAAAACCATGAACCGAAATCAAACTTAATCCTATCAGTTAACTGGTTGATCGGTTTGGTTCTTCAGTTTTTTGGTTTTTCATATTTATAATATATATTATAAATAAATATATAAATATATAATCTAAATGCTATAAATAATACATACATATATGGAAAAAACCAAACTGGTCCTTCAGTTTTTGGAAAACCATGAACCGAAATCAAACTTAATCCTATCGGTTAACTGGTTGATCGGTTTGGTTCTTCAGTTTTTTGGTTTTTCATATTTATAATATATATTATAAATAAATATATAAATATATAATCTAAATGCTATAAATAATACATACATATATATATATATCTATATATATGTATGTATGTATATATATATGGAAAATTCCTGATTAGTACCCTGTACTTTGGGCCTAGTGCCACTTTGGTCCCCGAACTTCAAAACACAACAATTCAGTACCCGAACTTTCAAAACGTGCCAATTTAGTACCTACTGTTAACCAGCCATTAAGTGGCATTTGGAAAGACACAAATGCCATTCGAGTGTCATCTAATGTTCTTTATTAACCATCCAAACGTTGACACAAAATGAACAGTCCCAAATCCTTTTCTCTTCTATTCAAGAAAGTTGGGTCACGTCTTAGTGGGCATTCCGCATTCTGGTGACCCCAACTTTCTTGAATAGAAGAGGAAAGGATTTGGGACTGTTCATTTTTTGTCAACATTTGGATGGTTGGTAAAGAAAATTAGTTAACACTCAAAGGGCATTTGTGTCTTTTTAAATGCCACTTAATGGATGGTTAACAACGGGTTAATGATAGGTACTAAATTGGCACATTTTGAAAGTTTGGGTACTGAATTGTTGCGTTTTAAAGTTTGGGGACCAAAGTGACACTAGGCCCAAAGCACAGGGTACTAATCGGGAATTTTCCCTATACACACACACACCTTCAATTTTCAGAAATACTGAACTGAAACTGAACTAATGGTTTGATTAACCCGGTTTTTTTGGTTTTTGATGAGCACCTCCACTGCTGATATAGAGGGGGGTTTTATGGGGGTTTCCAATTAGGGTGATTTCTAGAGAGAAGTTTCTAGTCTAGTATTTTATAGGAACTTAATAAAACTTGAAGAAAGGAAGGGTGATCCGATCAATATTTATATCAAACTAGTAGAAAAGAAGACAACTGTAGAAGAAGAAGAAAACATAAAAAGGAGAATAGTAAAAGGTTTTTAAGGCTTAGGGAAAGTACACCCATTATATACAATGACCAAGATGTCTTCAGGCAGATATATGAAAGCATATTCCCCGAGCAAGGAAAATGACTAAAATAGATCATAACAAACATATATGAAATGTTCATTATATGGATGATTGTCTAGATACTTAAATATCATAGGTTTTTTAAGCTTTTGTAATCTTAAGTAGCAAACTATCTTTTTTCTCCTGAACTGGAGCATTCTTTTCTTGCTATTCCCAAGTTGCTTGGTGAAATTTTTCTTTAAAATTATTTTTAGGGTCTTGCAATCATGAACTGGTGGTAATTCTAAAATTCTAACTGAATTATTTGGCAGAAGCATGGGAAAGAGAAATAATCAACCACCTTCTAGGATGAACTATGTTGTGTCATTATTGGTCTTATTGACTTATTCTATAGAAATTTATTTTCTTTATTCAATGATTTGTAATGAAATTTAACTTATATATTCTTCTGTACAGGGATCAGATGCATTTTCACAATCTGGTCTCTACTCTAATCACCAAGACATTGGACCACGTTATGCAGTAAGTCCTCTTTTATCTTTTCACCTATTTGGTAATCAGATTCTTTGTGTTTTATGGCATGAACTCTGCAAAAAGCATAGTCCATTGTGAGCAACTTTGTGCCCTTTGTACTTCCAAGAAAAATCTGCATGCAGAAAATGACTAGCAGCAAGAAACAATTTAACTTTCAAATCACCTATACATGTTGATAAATATTTTGGTCCCCCATCCTAAAAACAACCAAAAGAAGAAACCTTTTGCATAGGTATAACATGGTTTTGTTTTGGACCAGAATTGGTGCATGTTAAGTCAATCTTGACCCATTGCAAAACTATACAACTAGTGGAAGTCAACTCTTTCTATGGTCTTGAACTTGTGACAAGGGGAGGGATGCTGAAGAATTCATCTGTCAGTGAAAGAGGGATCCTGGCAGTAAGGCTTAAGAATTAGAATCATTTTTGGTTTGAAAATAATCTGGAATGTGCATGGATGGGAAAATTTCTAACCTTTTCAAATCTATTGCACTGTAGTAACTGTTGCCCACACCTATGCTAGGAAGAGACATTTTGCAGGTGTTTTTTTTTTGGTTGGAAAGATCACATGTTTGGTTTGATCTTATAGCCTGGATTAGATACTAAGTTCTAAAAACGAGAAACTTTTATGGATTTAATTAAATCAAAGGTATGGATTACATTTCCAGATGAATATAATGAGCATGATTCCTTTAATACCCCAAATAAAAAAGGATGAATTTAGGAGATGCTATCTTATCTTTCCTAGCTCTATAAGTATTAACAGAAACAGTAGTTCTGTTTTTGTATCAGTTTATTTCTTTTTCATTTGTTCATGGAGAATGGGAAGTTGATGCAGTAGCACAATGTTTACATGTAAATGAAAAAGGGAGTGTTACTGGGGCTATCAAACACTGCTGGAGTGCTTGCTGGCGTCTTTGGTACGGCAGCAACCGGCTACATTCTTCAACGAGGTATTTTCATCAATCCTGCACCTCCTACTTTATTAAAGTTAATAAAACAATTACATTTTTACCCAATTTTTATATGGTTGAATTTCATCTTTTAAATTTTATAACTGTGCAGGGTCATGGAATGACGTCTTTAAAGTAGCTGTTGCCTTGTATATCATTGGTACTTTGATCTGGAACTTCTTTGCTACAGGAGAGAAAATTCTTGACTAGAAAAAGATAAAAAAATCCCCAAAAAATGATCAAAAGAAAAAGTAAAATAGAATAAATAAAAAAGGATGTAGCCTATAAGCAAGAATAAGAAATTCATAAACAAGGAAAAAGAGTAAAACGCAACCTTCAAATTTAAGGTAAAGCAAGGGGGAGAAAGTGAAACACGAATACTACCATTTAGGAAACTGTCTTTCCTGGGGGTTTATTTGAAGCTAATACTTTACACCTATCTAATGAGGTTGTGATTTGTCTTAAAACCATATTCTTTATACAGTTTATTGAGTTTTCCTGGGTTCTTACATGTTTCTATTAGGTAACTTTGGTAATTAGGCCCATTGAATCATTTCCTATTAATTTAGAATACAATCTATTAAAAATGAATACTAAATATCAGCTTCAATTCTCTGTATTTAATTTTCTCTTTGGTGCGTCTTGCTGTAAATTTTATGACAATTTACTGTTCAAGAGAGGATGTAATTCATGTGAACACAAACAAGGAATATATGAACATCAATTCTATGCTTTTCCCCTTGCATCTTCTATGGATATCTCATATAACTCCAAAGATTGTGGTTTTTGAGGTTTTGCTGTATATGATCCCGTAAAATCCTTTGTCAAGCTCAAGCATTTGATATGGGCTAGGATTGGGTTTAAGGGCCACTGAGGCACTGACCGGTTCAGGGTAGGTTAAAGGGGGTAATTTTTGTTTTCGTGAAACTTGCACTTCTGAGTTCTGATTACGGGTTAACCGTATGTAGGGTCGGTTTGATTTCCAGGAAGGAACGGGATTCCGATTCCCATTCTCGTGACAAAAAAGCCCCCAAATCCTAATATTAGTAAAATAATAAAATATTAATACAATATAATTAAAGTAACAATAAAATAATAATAATAAAATATTATGAAAGTAATAGTAATAATGAAATAAGAGTATATTAATAATAAAATGCAAAGATATTATTTATTAAATAATAATAAATAAATTTTAAAATAATAAAAAATAATAGAATATTAATAAGCTACTAAGAAAATAATAACAATAAAACAATAAATTACTAATAAAATATAATAATAAAAATATTATTAAAGTAATAGTAATATAATGATATGTTAATAAAATATTCATAAATTAATGATAAATACTAAGATATTAATTATTAAATGCTAATAAAATAATAAAAGCAAAAATATTATTTATTAAATAATAATAATTAAGTAGAAATAAAATATCAATAATCCAATTAAAGTAATAATCAAATACTAACATATTAATTATTCAATAATAATAAATTAATTTTAAAATAATAGACATTAATAAACTGATAATAAAATAATAAATTATTAATAAAATATAGTAATAAAAATATTCTAATGTAATAATAAAATAATAATATGTTAATAAAATACTCATAAATTAATGATAAATACTAAGATATTAATTATTAAATACTTAGAAAATAATAATAACAAAGTATTAATAAAATAATAATTATATATTTATAAAATATTAAGGTAATAATAAAATAATAAATAGACTAATACAAAATTAAAAAATTTTAGTTGATTCCTATTCCAACTCCCAACAAACCAAACAACAATCGGAATTTGTTTCCGATTCTTGATTGAACCAAATAGGTGTTAGGAATTGGTGATTCCAATTCCGATTTTGGGGGATTTCGATTCCAATTCTGGTCCAGTTCATAAACCAAACTGACAGGTAGATTAGGCAAGCATTTCCTTGATTTGCCCCGGTTTTCTGAATTGATTCATTATGAATTGCCCATGGATGGCCATGGGTTCACTCCAAGCAGTCGAATTCCTCCAAGGAACCATGGGTTAACAAGGTTATTGCTCGTCTGTTGAATGCTTTTGGCGAATTAATTCTGATGAATTTTGTGATTCTAAGATTTCATTTTTAATGAAAATTGTTGGAATTACTTTTTTCCTAGACTTGTAGCTCATTCTAAGAATTGTTTAGTTAATTAAAATTTTAACTTAAAAAAGTCATCTTTGGCTCATAACCCATTCTTTAAATAGTGATTCATTGGAAGGTGCCAGCTAGCATGTTTGTTGTAGCAGAGACTTGGGATTGAGTCCCACTTTTGCCCGGGTTGGGGGGTTTAGGTAGGTGAGAAAATAAGTTGGTTCTACTTAGAACTGAATGGAACTGGCCTTAAACCAGCCCTACTCAATTTGATATCGGGTAAGGTTTGGTTCAAAATTCTTTTAACTGATCCCCACTTAGACTAGTTCTAAGGTTTGGGGGTTTTGTTGTACTTGAACATATCTTGGTTGGCATTGGTTGACCTTGGTAGTCCATCTCTAATTATTCAAAATCTATACTATTTCTATATTATTATAAAAAATACAAATGAGGGTATGAAACTTTTCTTGACTAAAATGCCCATACTTGTATTTAGTCCATCCCTAATTATGATGGTTGAAAATTTAATTTCAATTAATACTTTTCACCTCATTTAATCCCCCTCATTAAGTCTTTTATTTAAGATATTAACTCCCATTCTTTCTTATTAAATCTAATAATTTTAACAATATAAACCTGTATAATTTAAAACTTCATAAAAAACAAAACCATTCTTTATTCAAGTGGTAACTAAGCAATTCAACCATTCGTATGAGAGTGGATAACCTATGAAGTCATAGTTAAATAATAAAATTCTTAAATAGAAATAAATGTAGAAAATTACAAAAATATAGAAAAACTAGACACATTTATGATATTTTTATTTATCAAATTAAAAAAAAATAAGTGTAATAAACAATAATTGTTTTTGTTGATGATGAAAATGAAATATATTATCTAAAACTAACAAAAAATGAAATTAATTTTCTATTTAACGAAGATTACTAATTCAACTTTTACAATTGTGTCAACCTTTAATGTCATAATTAAATAATAAAAATTAATAAAATATAAAAAACATAAAATAAAAATATATAAATTTTACAAAAAAACATTTGGGCACATGTCATATATTTATCATTTTAAGCAAAAAATAAGTGTACATAACATAATTATTTTAAACAAATAAAAACATTTAGCACATCTATAGTTCTATATTTATAGTTATACCACTATTAAAATTATGAATAATATTGTAAAACTTTCTTTTAACTAAAATACCCATTCTTTTGAATTTAATCCCTATTTAGTTGTGAGGTTTAAAATATAATTTGAACTACTAATTTCACCTCATTCAATTCTCTCTCTTTAAATCTTACATTTTCTTTGATAAATGAACAAAAAAGATACATTAAGAAGATAAAATATTACAAAAAGAAGAATCAAGATAAGTAGGTAGGTTTGTTAATAATACCTAAAACTTTGCAACCCAATATGAGGTGTTTATGTAATCGGATTTGGACTTTGTAACTTGCATTCAATTAATAATGAAAAACAAAAATATAAAAAATACATGGATTTTATAAAAAATTTTGGATACATTATTACTATGTTATCATCATCTAGAATAATGATTTAAAAGGCGTGCCTTCGGCACACAGGCAAGGCACATTTTAGAGTATGCACCTCACCTATGTCCTAGGCTCACCCATTTCAAAAGGTGCATGCTTGGTGTGCCTAGGCATATGCTTGATGCACCTTGCACCTTTTTAAAATTTTGAACTTTTTGCTTTTTATTTTTGAGCCTAAAGGCTGGGCTAGGGGCTCTACCCTTGGACCTCTGACCACACCCCTCGAGGCGAGTTTGAACTAGTTCATGTTAGGGTCTTAAATTCTTATTTCTAACATAAAAATTAATGATTTTATAACTTTAATTGCCTTTTAAGAAGATATTTTAAAATTCACTCACCAAAGCTCCGAGAACCCCCTATTTGCTAATGGTGTTCATTCATTCATTCCAATAAAATATCTTCTTAAAAGATAACTAAAGTTATAAAATCATTATTTTTTATGTGAGAAATAAAAATTTAAGACCCTAACATGGACTCGTTTGGGCTTGTCTCAAGGGGTGTGGTACAAAGGCGACTCATAGAATCAATAATGCAATATGTTTTACATTACATTAGCTACTTGAAGTAATGCAATTGAAGAAAAAAAAAGATTGTGGATTTTACATGCTTGAAAATACTTTATATATTTGCTTTTATTTTTAAATTTTCATTTGAATATGCTTAAAAAAAAGATTGTGGGTTTTACATGTTTGAAAATATGTTTTACATGTTATGTTTATGTATTTCAATTTTAGATAATAGGCTTTTTAAAACATTTATTTTTAAAAAGTTTATATTTTTATTAACATTATGTTTAATATTTTTTGATTTTTTTTGCATTTTCTATTTTTTTGTCATTTTTTGAATTTTTTGACATTTTTTTTTATTTTTAGTTTTTTTTTGTATTTTTGCGCCTTGCTTCAAAAAGGTGCGCACCTCGCCTTGCACCTAAGGCACAAATTGGCCCTTGCGCTTATAAAACATTAATCTAGAATTGCTACGTGCAAAGCACATGACTAGTACTTTAAGAATGTGAATATTTGAACCCAAACACTCATGTTTGCAAATATTATGGTCTTATTTGACCACTAAGCCATTTAACTAGTATTTTTTTTTTCAATTTAATAATGTATATAATAAGTAATGCAAAAGGTAATATTTATAAAATTTAAATTAAAATGATAAATTTTTAACTATATTATTATTATTATTATTATTATTATTATTGAAAATCAAGTTTAAACATTTTATGATTGTGATTTCTAATCAATAATATATATTGATAGTAACATTATTAGTGATACAATTTATGATTATGTAATTACACCACATTTGTAGTTTTTAATGTTAAAAGTAACATAACATATTGTACTATATTAAAATCAAAATATATAGCTATCTAATTTGATTATTAATGTTAAGGAATGTCTATTTTTTTAATGAACATGTTCAAATTTTTTGAGTGTAAAGAAAGAATAGGTTCCATGGGTATACCTTAGAACTAACTCTAGAACCAACCTTGGTAGGGTTGGTTCTAGTTTTAATGGAACCTACTCTTACAAGGTAGGTTCCAAGTTCTACCTTGAAACCAAATTGATAGGACCCATGCTCACCCCTAGATCTATGACGAGTTTAAATTTTCAATATGATACATCCTGTATCAAGCATATTGTATTATATTTGTGGCCCTTTGATATGCCATTTTTGAGGGTTTTGAAAAACCAATGTTTTTAAATGTTAAATAAACTTAAAACTATCTCCTTGAGAAAAAGAGTTTTCATTCTATCAAACCACCTAATATACATGTTTGTACATATCCTATGTATCGATACTTTGAAAAAAAAAGGTGATCTGTTAGAGTGGAATTATAGTTAAACTAGTGGGGGCTCGTGTGATGCATGGGATTTGTTGTTTAAAATAATTAATCTTTTTTTAGTAATTTATTACAAAAATGATTTAGTAATTTGGATTATTTATATTAATAAATTTTAACAAAAGTAATCAATTATTGCTAATTACTTTATAAAATAATTATTTTTCCATATTATTTGTTAGTTTTTT